CATAAAGCAAAATGGTATATCAAATCATTTTGTTATATATTTTATAACATAGTTGAGAACCATCCTTAAACAAAGTTAGGTATAAAAAAATCCTGAAACCTAAAAATTGATTGGTGATTTTTTAAAAATCCCATTGTTTTTGCCTTTTCATGTTTATTCTTGTCATTTTATTTTTAGAAAAACCGAGTCCTGGTGTCCTCTACAGAGGACATAGCATAACATATGCATAAAATATAATTTTAAAAAAATGTTATTTTACTTTTTTCCCCTTATGCTCTAAACAATGTAATGACATGAAAAAATACTAAATTCACAAAGCTTTTTATTTCTGGTTCTCAGGAGGATATATATATATATATATATATACACACACACACACACACACACACACACACATCATTTATTTGTTTTTCAATCATTTGTATATATTTATATACATGTATATACTATTTTTTATTTGTTTATTTTATTTATTTATTTTTAATCTGTCCACTTAACTAAAATTCCAGTGTTGGGAAAGAAGTGAACACAATAAAACCATTCTGGCATACATGAAGGCAAAGGCCAGTCATATAATGACAGCAGACTTCAATCAAAAGGTTGAAGTGTGCTCTCAGGACAAGTTTTCTATTTCATAACTATCATGCAAAGTCTCGCATTACATCACACTATTTTCACTTTACTAACTGCCAGTTTACGCGTTCAGCTGTTTTATAATGTACACAGACACAGTGTTGTCGGAAGTGACGCAGATTGAGGTAAAGTCTCGCGAAAGTGCGTGGCGGCCATTTTTCCTCCATTGATTGCTGTTTTTGCTTACAGTCCAAGCAGAAAGAAAGTAACACAGATTAAGCTGGATTAACGGCCATTTAGCGCAAAAGTAGTTTCTTCGATATCGCCTCGTTTTAACTAGCACACTCGGAATGGTGTCTCGAAGCGCCTCGCAGAGCTCCTGTTGACAGCGGACCGCGGCTGGAGGATCAGATGGAAATGGTGCCCAGCGAAGAGAAGCAGCTTGTGCCCAAAGAGGTGAGAGATGATAGACCTCAAAATAACACACAGGAGTCACACCATCAGCTCTGTAAATCGCACCATGAGCTAGGGACTCGCGTTTAAATAAATGCGAGGGGACACATGAAGTGCGTGTGGGTGTCGAGTTTAGCGGCTAGCAGCAGTGTTAGCAGCAGCTCGGCTAACTATCAGTCAACAAGTTCTTCCAACAGATTAAATACGTTAATAACCATTCGAGTCCGGTGATTTATGTGATTAATAAGGCGAATAACGTGTTGTCGTGTGTGCTGTCCGACTGTTTACTTTTCACACAGCCTGTAAAGTGTCCTGCTGGAGTGAGTTTAGGGAGGTGCTAAAGTGTGCGCCATACTTTATGTTAGCAGCACAGTTTAGACTGCTTGATTTAATCCACATCACTTCTTCATTCATGGACATGATTCAGAGTAGATTGATAATTGAGGTATTTTAGGACTGCTTTCTACTTTCATTTCTAAAAGACCGTGCAGTGTCAACACACGTAAAATCAGATTTTAATCAAGAATAATTTGACCTGCCAACCTATTCTGGTCAATTCAAATCAAATGTATTGTTTCAGATTGATTCCACATTACTTTATTTGTGGACATGATTCAGATCAGATGGGAAACGAGTTACTTGGGGTTAATGTCCAGGAACACACTTGGACCCTTAACTGTCATGATGTTTATTTTTCAGTCTTCATGCTAACTGATAAATAACTCATTTTGGAATAAATGTTAATGCAATTTTCCAAGTTATATTGTTAAAATCATTCCTTAATATTAGCAAGGACAGCCTGTTTTTATGGAATGCCTAAAAAAGTAATATCTGGAAATAATTAATGACAAGTATCATGGTACTTGTATGTTACTCCATGGCACTTCAAAGAAAATGAGTACTTGGTAGTAAAAACTAGTGGCTGACCAATTTGATGGCCAATATAAAGCCGACAGGTATGATATCACACGTTTTAATAACATTTTAAAGATGGTAAATAACACATGATGTAATGAAGTTTATACTTATTTTGCATAATATTTACTGACTTGTTTAGTAAGATTTTACCAGAAAATATTTTAGAATTTCTATCATATGCTAACTTAAACAATCGTGTGTAATTTGAACTTCTGTATTTTTCTGTTTGCTTGGTTTTGTATTTTGTGTTTATGTAACTTGTATTATTGCAACTCTTGTTTTGGCCCTGAAGAGAACTTTAGATGCTGATGGCAATAAAAATAACTACTACAGCTACATAATATTTACTAAATTAGAAATAATTTTAAAATGGAAAAAGAATAGAAAAGGTCTCATACCCATAATTTTTTAATAATTTTTTTATTCATGTATTTATTTTAAAATAATGATTTTTACTTTAGATAGCAGCTTCCTGATTTTGGAATTTTTCAGGACTCAACTGAATTTTTAACAAATTAAAAACAGCTACAAATGCACTCTTCAGAACATCTAACATGTTTGCAATGTTTGTGGAATTAAATATTTATTAAAAGTTCAAAGACTTGCTTAAATGAATTGTGCTTTCACTGAACGCCGACGGTATTTGAGAAAGCATTATTGCGGTATCTATAATAATGGAAAGTCAAACACTATAATGCTTTTTTTTTTATATACAATTTACTTTCTATGCTTAATATTTCTGTTAATAATTTATTAGACTGAACTGTTCAACAAAAATATCAAACTAATGAAGACAGAGAATGGCTGTCAGAATAAAAGTCTCACTTCTGACACTAAACGGCCAAACAGAAAAAACAAACTGGCCCATGCAGAAGAAAAAATAAATTATATCGGCTGATTTTCCAAAAATCAGCTGATAGCATCCTATCATCCTTGCTGATATGATATAAAAAAAAAGCTTTTTTTAAATTTGAACTAGCACCTTATGACTACACCACGTTATGCACGAGAAGCTGCAAAAGACACAGGCGCTTGCTGATATGATATATACCGGTCGACCACTGTTATTATTATTATTATTTATTTTTTGGCTCGTTTTTCTTAGTTCCCCCATTTATATGGTTGTTATTGTGGGTGATTAAATTCATTGCGTCAGGGATTCCGACTAAATTCAGAGCAGGATTAATCCATTCAAACACGTAACAACAATAAAAAAAGGATTAACAATTTATTGGACTGCAGGATTAACATGACCTTCACTGGCTCCACGCCAATTACTACATGAATCTGTCTCAGTCTTTTATAGCGGGATGCGACACTCCCACGCTCTTCCTCTGGGTTGTGTCAACACCTGCTGGAAATCATTGATTAGTCAGCACTAAAGTTTATAGTTATATTTTATCTCCGGTGCAACCAGTAGGCCTGTCACGATAACAACTTTTTGTTGTGCGATATATTGAGATTACCTTCAAAGCACACTGAGCCTTTTCTTTCACGTAGTTGTGGCATTCATCCTGTGCCAGTGCTGAATGATGTGTGCTACTGATATCACAAAGGTTCATGGGATCACAGTACACCGCTATTACCATGGCACTGGAGCTGCATCATTAATCAAAATAAAACCAAAATTGCAACATGGCTTAGTGTGATTTTCAAATCACAAAGGCTGTGATTTCATTTTTTTTTTTAAATATATGCGCTGCGTGTTTCAGAGTGAAGCATGGCACTGTGTTCTTACACGTGAACAGCTCATTATCCACTGTGTTTTCAGCTTCTCAAAGCACCTCGGTTCGCAGCAAATTCTGCTCCACACGAACTCCATCTCTGCATGAGTTTGGGCCGCTTAAACATGGATTTTGGAAAGCAACATGCGCCAACCATCTTCACATACTAAAGAGAAGCGCTTGTCAACAAAAGAGAAGCTTTAAGGGCTCCATGCGGTGTTCCGTCAAAATAAAAGTTTGATGGTGTAACATTTGTAAATGAGGAAATTAAGACATCCAT